CGCTAAAGATTCAAGAAATAGTTGAGATTAACTACACATAAATGGGGAGACTCGTTTTTTCCCCCCGTGGAATTTGTTTTAACGTTTTAACATTGTTTTTGATATTGCATAATTGATTGACGTGTGAACGAGTGTGAAAATTAGTAAAATCAATCGTTTGGACAATTATAGTTATTGTTTGAGCGATGAGAAAGAGGAAAAAATAAGAAATAGATAATAATAAATTAACAATTTTAATCTTTAATTGAAGGATAATATTAAATTAGCAAGACAGATATATCATAATAATGAGATATTTTATATATCTTTTTGATAATAATTAATTTTTCACTGTTAATGTAGTAAAATGTTTAAAAAATTCGTGTGCAAATTGTTTTTCGTATGTTCAATTTCTTCCGGTTAAAAGTAGTTACAGATTTCGCCGGCAGAGGTCAGTAACGATCAGAGAGTCATGTGCTGCCATCTAGTAATATTTCTTAGAAAGTGTACACACATATTTGTGGATAATTAATTACATAATTTTAGAAATATTTTATAAAATTATAAATAACGAAAGAATAAATTCAATAAACAAAAAATATAATATAATTTTTAATTAAATATTTCAAAAATTTCTTCTTACCTTGTTGAATTTCTTCAAATTTCTTCAAATTTTACTGTTGCAACAATGCTTCGAATCAGAATATTCGTGTCATATATTAGAATAAAAATTCTATTTTTTGCGAAATTGTCAATCTAAATATATATTATAAAGCCAAAAATATAATATTTTCTACATAAAAAATTAGATGTATTACAGTTTTAAAAGAGAAATGATGAAAATGTGTTCAATTGATATTTAGTAAATAGCTTACGCGCTAAAAGCAAGACAGACAAGGAAAGAAAGTAGTGAAAGAAGGATAGAGATAGAATAAAAATATTGAAATCAGCGCCATCTCTAGAGTGCCGCAAATGAAACACATAAAGAAAGGACAGAAAATAATAAGAGAAGGATAGAAATAGGATAAGAATTGACTATTACTGCCATCTTTTGAGTTTCAAAGACATCTCTCTAAAGATACGGTAAAAAAGAATTTATTACTAACGCCATCTTTTGAATTTTTTAAGAAATAATTCTTTAAATCATTTCTTTGCTATTCGAGAGATGGCGCTAACAGTTAATTCTTACTCTATTTCTATCCTTTTCTTATTATTTTCTATCCTTTCTCTTTGTGTTTCATTTGCGGCATTCTAGAGATGGCGCTGATTTCAATATTTTTATTCTATCTCTATCCTTTTTCTAATATTTGCTCTCTTTGTTTATATTTACTATATAATATTTGTACGTTAAAAACACCGCTTCGATATCTAATTAATTTTGTCTTTTTTTTCTTTTGTCTAATCTATTGGTTAAAAATCTTAAAATTTTATTTGATTCAATTTTCATATTTTTTTAAATATGCATATAATATATTCTCCAGTGATATTTTTTTTATCATAGAAATTCATAAACTTTATCATTCTGTATCACATGTGCATTATAAATATTTAAAAATTAAATAATAAAATATCAAGTTATTGTTTCAGGTAAACCAAAAAATAGATACATAAAAATATTTGTATATATTATATTACATTTGCATACTTTTTTACAAGATTTCTATAAAAATCAAACACATATTGACTAGCTTGTTTACATTTATCTATTGTTTCTAAAAATTCTTCTTCTGTAAAACAACCAGCAGTATAACAACATATAATGTCTTTTTTCACACTATCAAATGCATATGTAAATTCTGCTTTAGCATCCTAAAACAGATTTAATAAAAATTGAAAAATTAATCGAATGAAATGTTTTACTTATCTTGAATCTTTTTTTAATTAATTTATCTCTAAGATATATAAATATATATTGATATAATCATACTTGTAACTGAGTACTATCAGGATCTAATATAATGTTGTTAGTGCCTTCCTGTATCATACAATTAACTGCTGCAATAGTAAATTTCATTGGAATACCAGCATTAATAAGTGCTAAACAAGCTGCATTAATTGTACAAGCTAACATCTGTAAAATTAATTAATATTTATTATTTTAAAGCTTAACATTTTAAATTTTTACAATACAAATCTATATGAAATAAATTCATACCCCACCAGAATCTTCCATTTCTTGTATGTTAATGCATATAGCAGTTGCTGGATGAAAAGTAACAATTATTGCGGCTTCGCATGTTTCTTTAATGTACATTTCTGTCATTCTATCATCAATCTCTTGGAAAATTAATACACATTAATACTTTATAAAACAATTAAATTACATTTGAAATATAGTTTAACTTACTCGCTGGACCTTTGACTGGAATATATGACACTTCGATTGATGCTTTATCATAAATCATTTTTTGAGGTTTTGCTTCTATTGGTCCATATATTCCAGCAACTACAGCAGTATTTCCTAAATTATATAAAAGATTATTATTAAATAACATTTAATATTATATAATAAAAATGTAGTAGATATAATGAAAAATTATAATAAAAATTAACAGCTACCTTGCATTAGCATTGCTGATCCATCAGGCATAGATAGCTGATTTAACTCACAATTCATTGGTCTTAATACGAATTCATTTTCTGATTCTTTTGATTCTTCCTTAGACATGTCTTTTTACAATTTAAAAGTATACAGTGTTTAATTGCACTTGGCGGGAAACACGTAACTTAGAGGTTATAATATTACAAACAATGAAGCACATGTAGAAATGGTAACAGGGATATTTCGAAGACATCGATATATCGAAAATATCAATTTTACCATCGATACTTAGAAATCGATTTATCGACACATCGGTATTTTTCTGATTTAAGTTTCTATTATTTAATAAAAATAAGTTTCTTTTTATTATTTAATATCAGTTTAGAGTTATAATTCAAATAAAATATCAATTTTTTAAAACAATTCATTTTATTATCAATAAATATGTACAAAAAAATATTTCTTAAAATAATATCACTGGGCAAAAATCTACAGTTCGCTTTATTATCGGTAATAATTTGCGACAAGTTTGAGAGTTTATCAAAGAGATGGCGCAACAAATTAAGTACTATATTATATATTATACATATATTAGTACTATATATCAGATATTACATATTTTTGTATTTTTATCATATATAAATTTTATAAATTTAATTTCCTATCATAATATTTTTTTTTCTTTAAAATTTCTTTTAAAATTTCATAATTTCAAAATTTAAATATCTTGTCTCTGTCATCTAATTAAATTTATTTAAATTTAAATAATTATGAAATAAATATAATAAAGCGAAAATGATATAATAAATTATTATATTATAAAGCTATTTTTATAAAGCTGTATTAATTTATGGAAAATATATTCGTTTTTTTTTTTCGATATCTTTTATTCTTTTATCGTGCTTTATATCCTTTTTTTACTCAAGCTGCCATTATATAAAAAAAAATTGAAATTGGCAAATCATGATTTTTTTTATGTTATTATTTTACTAAAAGAAAATAAATTTTCAACACAAATGTTCGTACGATATAATTCAATACGATAAGATAATTGATAAGCTATTTATTAATTCCACATCGATTCGTGACACAAGATAAATGTCAAGATAATTTATCGAATTATCCTATATAAGAAAATAAACTTAACAATGAAATTATATTATAACAGTGTTGATCAAAGAAAAAGTACAAGGAAAAAAGTTGAAGATGACATTTGAAAAATTTTTATCGATCATTTTCTTGTTCGGGATTTATTTTTCGGAGATCCAAGGACGAGGGATAATGCTCGATCCTATTAGCAGAAGCAGTGCTTGGCGAAAAGGATTCCCTGTTGAACCGAATTACAACGATCATGAACTCTTTTGCGGAGGAATAGATGTAAGAATCAATAATATTTTTAATCGCGAGGAAAATTTAGGAAAATCAAATTTATAAGCGATAAATTATATTCTGAAAATGGGTCAAGTTCTTTGTATATGTTGCATCAATACATTGAACCTGTTAATGGCAAGTGTTGAACAAAGCAATGTAAATGAAAAGAAAATCGTTAATTGATTACGATTGATACATTTTTACATCGTAGATCCAATATGGACAGAATAAAGGAAAATGTGGCGAATGCGGTGACGATTACGCTGTTTCTCGTCCAAGATCAAACGAGAACGGTGGTCTTTATGGAACCGGTGTAATTGTCAAAAGGTAAATCCTATCTCCTACATTTTTTCTCTCTTATCATGATATCTCTATGATCTTTTGATGTTTCACAAGTAAACAAGTGAAACACTTATTATCACAAAATAAAATCCAATCAATTGTCAAAAATCCTCGTTAATTAACATATCCGTTCTGTCGTTACAGATTCAAGCTAGGTCAAAACATAAATGTAAAGCTGAAACTGACCGACAATCGTTTTGGAACGTTCAAATTCAACTTGTGTCCTCTGAATGAGACATTCAATCTCGAGACCGAGGAATGTTTTGACCAGTACCCGCTGAGATTGATCAATGAATATAACAATTACGAGTTCCAAGTGCCCAACGTGAAAACAGAATTCAACATAACAGTCCTTATGCCGAATATAACGTGCAACCAATGCGTATTCAGATGGACATACCAAGCTGGGACCAATTTGGGCCGGTGTTACAATGAAAGAAATCCCACTATTGGATGCGGTCCTCAAGAAACTATTGCGCCGACATTGCGATCGAACCTTGATAAAAATTCGCGAAGAAACTCGCTTAATCGAAAAACATAATTATCTGATTAAATTGTGTTGTAACAATTCCAATCTTTGAAAGATTCGCGAGAACGATTAAAATACCATACAGATATCTAATGAATTTAACAGTCAGATCGAAAATCGATTGATTGAGAATTAAGAATCGAGATAGAAACACGATAATTTCGATAAGAATATCGATAGAAATATCGAAAATAATTCAGAATATATACAGAATATTCGACATTATATAATTAATTTCGATAATAATAATTTTTTTTTTCTCTTTTTTTTTCGATCTCGATGGATTAACGAGTACTTACTAAAACAATATATTGTTATTCGAATGATACACTCAATTTAAATTACATAACAGAAAGATGGACGTTAATCATCTTCCTGAATAACATTGTTATTCCTCCACTTTTATTCCTTCGTTTCACGCGCCACTAATACAGCTCGAGAGAAAGGCTGGAAAAGGAAACTTGAACAGAGAATCGCGACGGATTTTCTAAACGTATTTTCTTTGGTTCATTGTTTTGCGCACGTGATGCAGCTGGCAATAAATAATTGGGGAGGAAGATAAAACAGTTGGTTGATAATGCGTTGCAGTACGAGCGGCAAATTAACGGAAGTGTATTACATTATTCGGCACGCTTTCACCGAATCCCTGTCTCTCTTTGGTTTTAGGTCCTCCTTCGTCCGCGTTACACTTTCCATGTTGCCGTTCCTCGTTTCTTCCCCGCGTTAATATTCGCCAATATCGTGCAATGAATATTTTAATTATATTATTCGACAACAACTTTGCATCCAATCGTTAAGATATTATCCGATATAAAACAAGGATTTTATCGGATTTTTTAAATGTCTCATGATCGGCTAGTGCAAAGTGTAATTAGAATTCAATAACGTCTCCGGCTATGAATAATCAGAGATTGATTGCGATGCGAACCTGCGATGATCCCTAAATCGACAGACCTCATAGAAAATCCGGAACGCGTGTCGATGAGTAATCGTCTATTTTATGACGTGAACCCAGTTATAGCACAACAACTTGGAATCTCGTAATTGCGTGAAAGTTCCATAATTTAATTTTACTAGGGGGATTCGTACAAGAGAGTAGAAGTCCTATTTCACGTAGAAAATCTGCATATCCATAATTAACAGTCTAATTTACGAACGAAAACCTTGAATACTTTGTAGCATATTGGATAAATGATATCCTTTAATCGCGTAAAAGTAAGATAAGCCACCTATCCACGAGAATTTTCGATTATGTACAGTTCATAAGAAAAAAGAATTGGAATCATAAAAGTTCTTCGACATAATTCTACGGAGTTTTCTTTTTTTTTTTTTTTTTACTAACATCTTTACCGATTTTAGAAAAAAAATATTACGAAAATGGTAATGAGAAAAGTATGGAAACATCGTTCGACGATGTATCGAGACATTCGAGTACAAAGGCTATCGTCTCTCCCGTCTCGCTTTCAATGTTACCATGAAGCAGAAATCTCGCAACACGATCTCCGTATTACGTTGGTGCAATATGTAGACGATCTAACGTGATATAATCCCGACTGTTAAAAGATTGCTCAAAGACGTTATTACCCGAGGAATCGCGTAAGATAATAGAGCGCGGGGAACGATTTTCTGAAACGCCTAGCGTGAGGAATCTAGTTCACCGGCTGCATGACATAAGACACGTACACTTGGATACACAAATGCGGAGAGATCATTAGGAAGGTGAGGCCGAGTGAGTGCGTGCAAGCTAGATAAGTATCCACTTGCTTTTTCCCCGCGAAAGATTTCTCCGACCAAATGTTATACGTTAATCGAAGAGCTAAGAACTCGATTCTATATAGGGTGACTCGATTAAAAAAAGAGCGGCAACGTTCTACGCGTAGAGTCTGACGTTTGATTCCGAGGTAGAATCACAGATGTAGCTAAGATTCGAGCGATGGGTTTGAGTCAACAACGGAGTTGACGAGCATTATTAAAAGTAGCTCGATTCCTCTTACGGTGAATTGGAGAAGAATACGCGACGTCACATTGTGTGCTACTGTCATTGCTAAATTATACAGAGACACGTCACGCTTGCTTTAGGCGCTTACCCTGGTCAGTTTGCCTAATATAACAGTGTGACGTGACGAATTCTCCTTCTATAGAAATTCGCTGTGGAGAAATCGAGCTATTTTTAATGGTGAAAAGGTAAGTAATGTTCCTGTAACTTTGATCGAAAGCTAAATCGAACGAATGAAATAAAAAAAGTCGAATGACTTTTTATTGTAACGCGAAAGAGAGTAATGCTGTCGCAGCTATTCGCCATTCATACTTAAAAAAAATGGGAAATCGATGTGTATAGTAAAGATATAGTAAGAATATTTATTGATGACTCATAAAACGTTCGTTGTACCATTTCCAGACCTGTTTTGAACAATTAACTTAAACCCATCACTTGACTCGATATCTGTGTTGTAATGTTTCAGCATCCGCTTAATCCTTATCGGAATTAAGTCTTCGCTTGGCACACTTGACTTGTTATAGATTCTAGATCATTGCTTTAATTTGTACATTCTGTAATCGAAAAATTTCACATATTTAGTTTCGTCACGATAAAGATATAATTGTCACGTCAAAGTTGATACACGTGTGTTTAATACGATGAAATTACTTTTATCACAACAGACATGCGTTCATTAAGGGAGGAATAAGAATTCGAATAATTGAATCGAAATAAAAATTTCCACACATGCAATACAATTCGAATCCTGCGATTGCTGCGACAACTCGCACGAACTGGAGGCTGTTCTTTCCTCGTCACAGACCCGCCTTGCGATGAGTCGTCATCCTGACCCACTAAAACTTTCTCTTCAAGGAACAAGGAACTTGCTAAAAATTTAAAAAAGTGTAATGTTCGACTGTGTGCAAAAAAGAAAAATTATTTCGCGAGAAAAAAATTCGAATTCTTCCAATTCGAAATATCGAAGATAATTATTCGTGTACAAATCATCCTGATTTCTTAAGATCCCATCCGCTGCATCTCTCGCAGAGAACAAAGAGAGAAAAAATGCAAGTCTGGCAATGCAACTGGAGGAACTTGAGAAACGAGGACACATCTGAAATTGTGTCCTCTTACGCTATTCGTTTGTTTATTCTTAGACAATCTTCAACTGATTTTGTCTGTGCGATTGTGCCGCAGAAACCATTATGATTACCAATGGAAATATGATAATATAAAAAAAAAAAATACACAGAATAATTGAGTTGTCGCCATTCAGAAATGAAAATATCTCTTTCAGCGCGCACACAAAAATGGGATGAACGTGTAATGAATTTCAAATGAATTTAACAAGCTGTTGCATACGACTGGGTAATTCCAAGGTGTATGTCCATGAAGATACAGCTCGAACGATTGTGTGCTAATTGGTTCGTGAAAAAAAGAAGAAGAAGAAGAAGAAAAAGAAGAAAAAGTTTCTACGAGGAGGAGAAAGATCGTCGCAATTGTCATTGGTCGTATCGTCACCTCGTTTTTAGTAAGGTGAAACTGTTTCTAAAATTACATCTTCGATACGCAACATTTTGTTCGTACAAGTAGGACGACGATCGATAGTCGATGAAAATACGCGGATAACAGAATACTTTCGATTTCACCATGCTTTGAACATCGGTCGATTTGTCCTTCGATTGCCCACGCACGATCTAATGTCGACTCGGCAAGTAACGAGGAGAGACATGTGTGCATTTGGCGTGAAACTTTCAATGGCGAGCCATTTCAATTTTTACCGCGTTTCCGAGGAAAATAAATTTTGAGGAAATTTGATTTATATAAAAAAAATATATGTATAATTTTTTATAAGCGAATCTCTCTCTCTCTTTCTCTCTGTCTCAAGCGTGAGCTGAAATGAGTCCTCGAAGGAAAAAAAAAGAGAGACGAAATTGAAATATAATTGAATATAATTGAAAAAGAAATAGCTTCGAAAAATAAAATTTTATGAGGATCTTCAATATACCGGTAAATTTTTAATGAAATTTTTTTTTCCACGATTTCTTTATAGGAAAATAGACGCATTTGTTATTCGAAATGAATAAATAGTATTGTTATTTTAACTTTGTGTCGTGTAATCATTACTGTAATCTGTTTAAACACAAAAGAATATTAATGCATGTATAAGAATATTAATTTTTATATCATTGGACAATAGAAAAAGAAAAATTCTAAATATCCACCTATATTATACCTTTTACACTCTTCTTCAAAATCTATTCAAAAAATTGAGAAGACCGAAAATGTTGTGTATTGAAACAATGCACGTTTAATAATGCATAACATATTTCTCTATCCGATCATTCCTTTTCTCCTGCAATTAATTAATCCATCCACTATTGAACAAACAATTTCTAAATAAACAATTTTAATCCTAATTCAATCACATGTATGACACCAGACGTCACTGAGACGTAAAAAATCGAAAAGATCTCGTTAAAACGAACGAACGAACGAACGATCCTCTCGAATGGATGATTAAAACACAGGAGAAGAAGGCCGGAAATGGATTTCCCCTGAAAACGAACCGGCCAGCCGCGCGCGCACCAAATCGAGTCGAAGACGAGTATATCGATACTGCCCGGTTGATCAGGAACAGCCTGTAGAATCGCATCGTGGCGAGCCTGTAGCAAGGTGAGCGTGGAGAATTCTCCGGCTGGCCGGAGAGGAGGAATGAAAGGCAAGCGAGGCAACAACGCTCTAGCACCGGCAAGGAGGAGGTAAATCCCGCTCACCGGTGCACTTCACCTCCGGCCTCGGCACGGATCGCGACCGACCAAGTGAACCGACCAAGTGGACACCGTGTATACCTCGTTTGTGCTTCTATTTATCGGTTGTCCATTGATCGATCAGAGATCGATCGATCGCCGGCCGTCCTGTGTTTTGTTCGCGCGTTTCGTTTCGAATCGTGTCGCACGATTCGATCGAGTGGCAAGATTAATCGCGAGTGCACGATTGTTGGTGTTCGAACAGCGTTTCAGAGGGACTGTGGTCACAAGAATGCGGTAGGATGCGTATC